TATTGGTGCGGTGCACAAGGCTCTTTTGAGCGTTTGGAACGCTCTCTCCTGCTTCTCTTCCCAGTCAAAGGCCACGCCCTTCTGGGTCAGTGTTGTAAGAGGTTTTGCAATGCGGGAGAAGTTCTGAATGAACCTGCGATAGTAGCCAGCGAGACCTAGAAATTGACGAATTTCTATAGGCGTCTTCGGTGCTGACCAGTTCTCAATGGCTATAATTTTGGAAGGGTCCACGTGTATTCCCTCTTCGCTAACCACGTGCCCTAAGAATTCGACTCGTCGGATCCAAAATTCGCATTTCGAGAACTTCGCATAGAGCTTCTCTGAACGAAGGGTTTCTAAGACTAGTCGCAGATGTTGACTATGCTCCTCCTTACTACGAGAGTAGATAAGTATGTCATCGATGAAGACGATGACGAACTGATCCAAGTAAGGACGACACACCCTATTCATTAAGTCCATGAATACAGCAGGTGCGTTTGTTAATCCGAACGGCATCACTACGAATTCGTAGTGCCCATAACGAGTTCGGAAGGTTGTCTTCGGAACATCCTCCCCTAGCACTCGTAGTTGGTGATATGCGGACCTTAAGTCAATTTTTGAAAAGAAGTTCGCCCCTTGAAATTGGTCAAATAAATCGTCAATACGAGGCAAAGGATAACGATTCTTGACGGTCAGTTTGTTGAGCTCCTTGTAGTCAATGCACATATGAAACGATCCGTCTTTATTCTTGACGAACAAGACTAGAGCTCCCCAGGGTGAGAAGCTTAGTTTTATAAAGCCCTTGCTGAGCATTTCGTTAAGTTGACAGGACAGTTCTTGCATCTCTGCAGGTGCTAGCCGATTGGGCGATTTGGCTACGGGGGTAGCCCCTGGAACTAAGTCGATTCGGAACTCGACTTGACGTTGCGGAGGTAATCCTGGGAGTTCTTCCGGAACTCGACTTGATGTCGGGAAAGTCGCGTACTACTGGAATGTTCTGAATGTCTTTCGTTTCTTGGCTCACATCGACCACATGAGCAAGGAATGCGCGACATTCCTTTCGCAAGAATTTCTGAGCTTGAATGCTCGAGATGATACGAAGGTTCGTGTCGGGTTTGTCGCCATATACTACTAGGGTTTCGCCAGATGGCAGATTAAGGTGTACAGCCTTTTCGTAACACATGATGTCGGCACGATGAAGACTCAACCAATCCATGCCGATAATGACGTCGAAACTTTTAATAGAAACCGGCATGAGGTCGATCGTAAATGAATGGTTATCAAGTGTTAGGGTACACCCTATGAATATATTGCTAGTGCTCTCTGTCTTTCCATTAGCCATTTCTACATTGAACGGTTCTTTAAGTGCTCGTGATTTTTGCTTAAGTAAATGAGCAAATTTTTTTGGTTCACGAAACTCCTCTTCGCTCCACTATCAAACAGTATGTATGCATAAGAGTTATCGAGGAGAAACGTACCAGTGACCACTGTGGGGTCGGCAACCGCTTCCTCGTGGCCTATGGCCAGAACTCTTGCCACTCCACCGGCATTCCCTGCCTTCGGGCAGTTCCTTTTGTAGTGGCCCACCTCGCCACAACCGTAGCAAGTTTGGCTCACACCAGCACCGGGGACTTGGGTGATTGGCCTCGCCGGAGCTTTGTAGAAACGGGCAGTGTGCCCCTTCCTGTTGCACTTCAAACACTGCATTTCCCGGTAGGCTCCTACGTGGTGGAAGTTGCATTTGTTGCACTTAGGCAAACTTCCAGCGTACTGCTTTACCGGAGCAGTAGTGGCAGGTGCTAACGCAGCATGAACTGCCACGACCTGCTGCTTTTTGGCAGCCTTTGTCTTTCTTTTGTCATCCCAAAACTTCCGCTTGGAATCAGCGGTTCTGGCGGGTTCTGAGATGGCCAGGGTTGTTGTTGCGGCCAGGGTACGAACCCCATGGTCTATAAGCCGTTGTGCCAATCGCTTGGCACTATCGAATGTAGTGGGGTTTGAAGCCAAAACATTTCCCTGGAATGGAGGCACCAGCCCCCATATGTATATTTCAATCTTCTTCCCCTATGTAGGAACCATGTTGGGACAGAGGGCCACCAGTTCACAGAACCTGGCGGTGTAGGAGACTATGTTGGAGCCCTTCATGGTTAGGCTCCACAGTTCTTCCTCCAGCTTTTGGATTTCGCCCCTCGGGCAGTACTCCTCCACCATCAGCTCTCTCAGAGCTTCCCAGCCCATAGCATTTGCCACTATAAGGGAAAGTGACTTGACATGGCTATTCCACCATGTCAGGGCTTTTGACTCGAAGGTGCAAGCAGCAAACTTGACCTTGCTTCCCTCCGGGCATGAGCAGATCTCAAAGACCGACTCTGTCTTTTCGAACCATTGCGAAAGGGCAATGACTCCGCCAGTCCCCTTAAAGGACAATGGCTAGCAGTTTGTGAATTCCTTGTAAAAGCACTCTCTGGAGCGCACAGGATTTCACCATGAGTAGATAGGACAGGGGTTCTTCCTCCAGTGGAACCAGAAGAATGATATTGTGCCATGGCTGTAGCCACAGCCGCAGCTACAGCAACATTCAGGGCTGCCGTGTCGAATTGAGGAGCAGGTGGTGTCGGTGCGGGAGGATCGCGTCTTGTTGATTTACGTGGAGGCATCTTTTAACTATAAGTTTAGAAAGATGAAGATATTGATAAGAATTTAATAGGAAGTAGATAAGAATGACTCGTGGACTAACTCTCCATAGTCCAACAGCACAAACGAATAACACGATTGAATAGTATACGAAAGTATTTGGATATAATTTCCATGAGATTAGATATCTATCAATAATACTAGAATTACAGATGTAATGAGTTCGGGAAAAATGACCTAGAAGCAGGTCTTAAATCAACCAAAATGGAAAATTTTGACAGACTACTACCTAATCAAGACCTAACGGGTCTAAGACTTACAAAGATAGGAAATTAGACTAGAGTTTTTACACAAACTAGGATATATCCAAAAGAGAAGTTGATAAGACTCTATCGGCGACGAGAACTACTAGAGTGAGTTCTTGAATCCGACAGTAGACGCTCTATGTCTCTCACGCGCCTATCAGATCTTGCTTGCTGAGGTCGAAGTTCCCTGACTTCAGCTTGGGTTTCAACAATTTCCCTCTGTAGAACTGCATTGCGGACCTGAGTCCTTTCATGAGCAGACTCTAGTTGGCGAATGCGGACTGTGTTAACGCCAGAGTTGGCGTCAATCTCCACTACTCGGTCAATAGCTGCTCGACCTTGCTCAGTGTTCCGAGCAATCCTACGGACCATTATGGGTAGGACCCTGTCAGCTGAACCTCCCTCAGTGAGGTTGTAGAAACTTCTGTCTCCATTGTAGGGTATGGGTTGATCCTGTTCCTGACTCCATCTATTCAAGTTTGTGGCCCACAGAGGAGTGGGTCCTTGAAATGTTGGACGATGGTTTGGGTCTTGAGCAGCTGGGGGTAGGTTGTTGACTTCAGGCTCTGAGTCAGAAGCATCAGAAAAGCCTTCGGCTTCGTGATCATCCAAAGGGATTGGGTGATCATCTTATGGATCTTCTCCCAGCCATCCTGCATTGCCGTTGTTGGGGTAGTATGGGATGCTAAGTGTCAAGTGAAGACTTGAGCACACACACGGATCCTATTTAACATATAATAACACATATATGTATCCAATTAGTCATTTAACAACTAATTAACCAAGTTAAGACACCCTAGGACATGGAAAACACTTTGATTCGAGTGCTAGAAGTACCAAGGGTTGCATCTAAGGGTTGTATAGTCACTTAAAGGAGTTTTCGGTCCAAAGTGGTTTTCGGTCCATATGGTTTTCGGTCCATATGGTTTTCGGTCCAAGTGGTATTCGGTTTTTAGGGTTTTCGGTCCCTGAGTTTCACACCGAAAACTCATGATGTTTGGTGCATAAGGTGATTTTCAAGGGCTTTCAACAATCAATGAAGTGTTCTAGACTCAATACTAAGTATTAGGAAAGGCTTAAAGTCATTTTTGCACCCTTAATAAGGGTTTTCGGTCTAAGGAGATGCACTTAGACCGAAAACACTTTTTTTCTTGAGAAAAGGATGTTTTCAAAGCCCTAAATCGAGTATCCTTACTAGATAACAAGTATAAGAGATAGATACTTACAATATGGAAGCAAAGAAGGGTGTTTTCGGCCCAAAACACTAGTGTGTGTTCTTGGTGTTCTTGGTGAAATGAAGAACACTTGAAGATCTAAGAAAATGGAATGATTTCACGGATGAAATCATGTAAGATCACTAGATAATGGAAGAGATCAACTAAATAGGGTAAGAAACACTTACATTTTAAAGATCTAGAAGGAAAAATCGGATGGTACTTGAGAGGATTTCGGTTCTTGTTCTTGAAAGAGTGAAAAAGTGAAAAATATGGCCAAGTGTCATATATATACTCATGGGGGTTTTCGGTCCAAACACCATTTGGGCCGAAAACTCTTAACTCTTGGAGTTTTTGCGAAAATGATGCACAATGAACCTAGGGCATCCTCTCTCCTGTTGTTCTTTGAAGTGCTAAGCTTTAAAATACTTAAACTTATTCCAAAAAGCTTGAAAATTAGTAGAAACAGTTTTGACTCCTATTGAAGTGAATGGTTGTACATAATAGAAATTTCGGGTTGTCACATGATGTTAAGTTCTCGGACATTGGAGATTTTGGTCAGCTATTAAGAACAGTGTAGGAATTAATAAATCTGGAGTGGGTAAAGAGTATGGCAAATCTAGTTTTAATGAAACTAATTTCCATGTGGATTGGGGTGTTCATAGGAAAAAGTGTGTAATTGAGGATATTCCTTCTTTTAATTTAGGAATTGAGGATGACATCTATACTTCAAGAAAAGTCAATACAGGTGTTGATAGTTATGTTATTAAGAATTCTGTTTCTGTTGGAATATGTTCTTCTTCAGTCAATGGAAATGTAATTTAATTCTCATGATATAAGTGAAAATATTAAAATACTGGAGAATGATATGATTTCATCGAGACCAAGGAGAAGTCAAACGTTACCTCCAGTGCTTAGGTCTCCATTTGTTGTACGAGCTGTTGAGATTGATAGTAATTTGACGAAGGAGGAGAATATCAAATCGAATTGGGTATTCAGCTTATGTGGAAATCCAACGTAATGTGTTTGTATATATGTATACATATTTTCATCTATAAGGAATAATAATTTTAATGTATTTTAATTGTATTTTAATAGGGACAATCTTTTTCATAGCATAAATGGTCAACGTGGGGAAAGATACATGTTCGAGAGCTTATATCCTGGAGAATATCTTTTTTCTGGGACTATTGATTGTTTTGTTGAAGTGTTCAACTATGATGAAAGAGCAAGGAATTTGGACACTCCGGCATGTTTCTTCTTCAAGACAGTAGTACTGGTACTTATATTAATTGTTATTTATATTTTTTATATTAGTATGATTTTAATTATATTGATGGTTTTGTTTTTTGGATTATGCATACATGCATAGTGAAGCATGTAAATCTGATGATGAGTACAACAATTTTAAAGAAAATTTTAAGTTGTTCATTGTTTGGGAGAGTCTAAAGACAGAAGAAATTTAAAAGGAATTGATTTGGTAAGCTTTTATTTTCTTTGTAAATTTTATTATTTTTTTTGTTTATATCTAATTAGGAAATTGAATTTTTTATATTTAGGTGTTCTTTCCTGCATGTGCAAACAATCACTATTTTGTCTTTGTTTTTTATTTTAAAAACCGCAAAGTTGTCATATTGGACAACATATTGTATAGATGTTCTGAAAATCCATACCATCATCTTACTCGAAATTTGGTAAGTTTGATTGTTTTTGTTTGTAATTTATATGTTTATTTATATTCAAAAAGTATAGTTTTTATTATAATGCATATTGTAATATTTTTTTATTTGTTAATGTAGAAATATATGTTTGGTAGATATCTTCAAGAGATAAATCATTTTATGGCATTTTCAGTTAAATATGAAATGGAATTTGTGGATTAGTATATAACGTGGAAAACAAGAGGTAACAGTAATGATTGTGAGATTTTTTTGATGCGGCATATGGAAACTTATAAGGGAGGCCCTTTAGCTCAATGGACATGTGGGTTTAAAATGGAAAGTGCTGAGCAGAATTATCAACTTAGAATGCTTCGAAGAAGATATTGTATGAAAATTCTATTGAGTGAAGTGAATATAATGAAACATGAAGTTGAGCAACTTATTGATGATTATCAAAAGCTTTCTCCAAATGATAGGCGTGTAATGTATCATGAAGGTATTATCAATATAGGAGCTCGGTTAGCTGCATTTGGTCCATGATATATGTTTGTTGAAGTAAACAGCTAGTGGTTAGTATTATGTAGAAGTATTCATAGTAATGGTTATGAATGAGTAATTAGAACAATTTGTTTGAAGTTTTTTCTATATGTATTAAGTTTTGTTTTTTTTTATATGTATTAGGTTTTGTTTTGTTTATTGTAAACTCTTTTATTTTATGTTAGAATTGTATGCATTTCATCAAACATAATAGTTGTTTTATAAATTTTGTTGTAATTATAATACTTTTGTTTCACATTTGTAGTATTATCTGTTTTCATAAATGTAAAGTTAATAATAATCAAGATGTATAGTCTTTAATATTTTAAAAACTAATTTGATTAAATTTCAGCACATAACAGAGTTTTTTGAAAAAACCAATAGGTAATGAAATGATGTTGTTTTGCACGAATTAAAAGAAAAAGTATAACAACGTTTATTTGCAGTAGACAGTGATTGTTTATCTGTAAACATATCTAAAATAAACATATTGACAACCATCATCGATAATATTTATAAATATATTACAGTAATCCCAAAAAGAAGACTACATAAACATATGATATTAAGTTCAAACATTAACAAAATAAACATACCAATATTCTTAATAAAACCAATGTCAAAAATCCAAAAACCCAAAAACCTAAATTTTCACCTTGCTGCTTCCTCTACTTTCCCAGAAGCTTCACTTGAAACTTTGTGTATTCCAAAGCTTCATTGAATTTTTGAACATCTATCCAAAAGTTGAATTTGTCAAAAAGATTGATTCTTGCTTCCCACACATTAACCTTTGGATTGGATGCAACCAATGAATACACTATTGTGCAAAGATAACTGTTGGTTGCAAAGTTTTAAAGTGTGTGGGAAAAAGGTTGAAACCGTTTTTTGATGATGCTCCAAATATATCTCTTGAACACACAAGAAACCATCAGTTTTCACTTTTTTGATAAACTCGAAAATATCCTTACCATTTTCAAGATTGTTTAGACCAACATCTAATGGAGCAAAAGAAACCAATGAGTAGGGAAATGTTTTGTCGACATCATAACCAAAAAGAAGTTATGCTTTTCTCAAATACCTCCACAGAGAAACTAGCTATGTTGATGAAGTCAACATGATCAATGATTCCTTCATGGGAATCTATTTTTAGATAGTACAAGAAACTACCTCCATGGTTTATCTTCATTGATAAGTATTTTGTGTTTTCAGATCCTGAATGAATATGAAAAAAAAAATTAGATAAGTATTAATATCATAAGATATTAACCGATAATTAGTTTAAAACATTAAAAAAAACAAAGAAAAACACAAGTAACATCAAAGATATACTAAAAACCTTGAAAAAAAACTAAAAACTCAATTTTTGTTTAATTAAAAAAATAATTTTTTTAAAATAAAATTAAAAAACAAAGAAAAAAAAGAGAAAAAGCACTTAAGTAACGTTCTATAGATGTTCGTGGAATGTGATTATATCTTCGAGTTTGTACTACGTTCCACAAACATGTGTCACATTTGAATGCGTCACGTCCAAATATTGTGTTTGACGTTTACACCTTTGACAAAGTTGTCGGTAGAGAATTGTCATGGTAATCTTCACCGGATCCAAACAACTATTTTGTAATTTATTTCATTCAATTCTCACACTTTTTTGTGTATAACATATGGATGATTTTTTCATACTTTTTTATGTGTTACGTATGGTTACCATAGACGTGGTAGAGAATTATACCTTCAATCATATCTTTTATGTGTGTGACATATTGCTAAAATTTAGAATTTCATTGGTAAATGGATTTGAATTGTACAGTGTTTGTTTTTGGTTGAAGTTGATGCGTCGATTCATCTTGGTAAAGTAGGCGCTATAAGTCACTTGGTTTAATCTTTATAAGTCACTTGGTTTAATCTTTACTCTTTTGTTAATAATCACATACCCAAAAGACCAAAAGACAGTGAAATATATTTCACTCACCATTAAATTTCATAACAATTGACACCTAACTCACAAATGAAAATAAACAAAGATTAAAATCTGATAATGCTTACAATATAAAGGCCTACATATATTGAAATTAATCAACATAAAATTTATGCCCGATCAATGTGAAAATTATTCTTTTGTTTATGCATTGTAAAACTGATATAAACAATATATGTTTTTTGTAAAAATTTAAGAGAATTGATACAAACGACAAGTATCAAAGAACATATAAGAAATATTATTCACTTATGCATGGATACGGATGGATGAAATTATCAAAATGATGTTGCACATCTTTTATTATCCCACTATTTTCTACTGCAATATAAATTATATTGAAAAAATAAAAAGAAATCAATTCATAAAACAATATATATATATATATATATATATATATATATATATATATATATATATATATTAAAGAAACTAAAATCGGAAAATAAAAATAATAAAATAAAATAACATAAAACAATTGTTAAATTATAGATAGTATCGGAATTGTTCATCCACCAACATAATAAAATAATAAAAAACAAAAAGACTGAATAAAAAAAAGCTGTTAATTAAAAATAATTATAAGGTGTTTAAGTGATTGAAGGAGAATGAGTGTATTTTGTATAAAAATTATAAAATTTAAAAATAGTTGATATGATTTGTTAAAAAATGTCTTAATTGATATTCAAGATGATCCAAATAAGTAAAAAAAAAAAAAGGTATTTGTAGTAACAATGTAACATCATATTATAATAGTTAAAAAATATAATAAACATAAGTTTGATAAAAATAAAATAAGATATAAAAGTTTATTTTCCAAAAAAAGATTTTTTAAGATCACATGCAAAAAAGCATATCTTGACTACTGTATTAAATCTTGACTATTTTCTTGCTTTTTTTGATTATTTGAATAACAGTTAAATAATGATAAACAGAAATGACAAACACACCTTTTTCATGTGATGACATATTACGCTTTTTTTTTTCTCAACGTCTGTACATTTAAAACAAAGAAAACATGATTTTTCTAAAGTGAAGTATACAAATTGCAAAGAAAACGGCAACAGAAAGAGAGTAGAAGAAAACGTGTTTTCAACCTAGAAAATGATCCTGATTGACCATGAAACTTGACTCGGTCTATGTAAAGTTCTAAACTTTGGGCATTTCGTAGAGCGATTATAAAAGAATGTAGGAAGAACGCCGAAGAAGGAAATGTATCTAAAATGGGAAAGTTTTTAAAATTTTAAAAGAATGGTATTTCAAGTCAATTCTTATAGTTAGCAGTAGAAGGTAGTTTTTTTTTTTTTTTCTTTTTTTTTTAAACAAAGTCTTCTAATCTTGTATGTCAACAAGTGGACCAACAGATATTTTAGTTTTTATATTGTTTGTTTTTTCGAAGATAACAATCATAAAAATGTATGCGCATCATCTGAAAGCAAACGCTATTTTCCCAAGATGATCTCTATTCACAATAATTCCAATATAAATATACAAGAGATGCTACAAAAGCAAACGCTATTTTCCCAAGATGATCTCTATTCACAATAATTCCCATATAAATATATAAGAGATGCTACAAAATCAGAATCTATACTCATTTAGGAAGGATCATTGACCAAATATATAACAGAAAATAGGTAATAGTAATTCTAAATCTTTAAATATTATTAAAAGAGAAACCTTATGACATCATCTTAAACAATATGGGCCCTTTATTGTATTTCAATCATATGTTTTCTACCCTTAGATCAAATTGCTGACATCATTTTCCATAAATGGAATGTATTTAATTCCAATAAAAACTTTCAAATTGTCAAACAAAATTAACTTACATCCGTTGATATGGAATTTATTTAATTCCAATAAAATCTTCCCATATTTTACATCTTGAATTTTCGGTTGTAAAGGTTTTAATATGGTCAGCTTTAAAAACATATTAGTAACAAACAATTTCAATTAAAACATTAATATTAACCATTAATATAAATCTGTTTATATTTGTAAACCATTAATATAAAATCCATTTTTATTAGGAAAACATTAATACCAAAAAATCAGATTCAAATTATAACATATATATATATGATTCATCATTGAATCCGTGGCTCACACTTATTTTCAATCGTTGCGTTTTTTTCAAACCTTTTCCTACAACATCATTCTTATTGTTTATAACTTTCATCATCATTCTCTGCTTCAAACCCTCGCGGTTGTGCAGTAGAAGGTCAGTACCTTCTTTTGCTTTTTATATTTTTTTCGATTATTTTTTGTTCCTATATCAAATATATGTATTCATATATTTCGATTTTCCTTGTCACAAATTACATTAAATCGGTTAACAACTTTTCTGAAACTTTTCAAATAAACAGGAAAAAATATTACGTACTTTTGACAAAACAGAAATTAACTATCTTCGGAATTGACACTAATTAGGAAAATGTTATTTTTCTATATTAGAGATGATTATGATTTTTTTTAATTATTATGTCATAAGAATCTGGTTAGTTTTGGTATGATTTTAAAATATTTTGGTATGATTCTATTAAATTTGTAGGTTGATTTAATAGGAAATAATATATAATCTATTTATGCATCATTTGAAATTAAGTATGGGAATAATTTTGTTGACAACTATAATAGCTTTCATACCTATTTATAAATCATACATTTTTATAGATAAATACATTGCATGCGTCCATTTTATTTCATATAAAAGTTCTTTCTAAATTTAATTGTTTTCTCTTTAATTTTACACCCATGACACAAAACAATCACGATGAGATCGTCTTTGATAAGGTTGCTGACATCGACGCATCCAAGGAAACTGGAAACATTTGTGTTCAAGTACTCTTGCTTTGGAAGCAAACTTAAAAAACAACCCAAACATGTTCAGCAGCTTGGACATGATTTTAATTGACGAGTAGGTACAATTTTTTCTTTTTATTATTATGTTGCTTTTAATTTATAAAATTTTAAACTTAACCAATTTTTTTCACTTACATGACACTAAAATACAAGCAACAATAAA